TATTTGTGTCTATTCTTTTTTTGTGTGCAAAAACTAAAACATAAAACTTGATAGTTAAGCATTTATTAAGCTTATGTGCAAGTACATACAAGATTACTTTTTTTTTCTTTTACACAAGTATGAATGTTGATTGAAATGGTTAAAAATCCTGCATTTATTTGCCATAGAACTTACTTTTTTTCATATAATTGGTTGCCTTTTCAACAAAATTATTTTTTTTTTTTTACTTGGCCTCATATTAGCAAAGCGCGTGGTGACGACCAATGAGGTAACACGGAACTCTCTCATTTACTTTAGCTGTCGTCCACCTGGGGCGCTGCTATTCAATCAAGTAAGAACAACTGGTCTGTTCGACTATGCGGAAAATGCACTCAACTGGCATGCAATGGGTCGATGATCAGTGTGGAGCAATCCAAACCCTACCCATCACCGCCCTTCTAAACTTGACCAACAAAGAAAAAAAGTACATCCTGGAAGGAATAATATAAATACTTACCACTAGATGGCGGGGCAGTACTTCTCTTTATTCTCACAGTCTTTTAACATTACGTTTTTTATTCTGCTAATCAAAAGTTGATAAAAAACAACTTCTGATAAAAAAAAACTGCAGTTAAGTAAATATTAATGAAACATATGCACGGGTTGTTGTGTTATATTATCTGAATTACTGATGTATTTTAATTGTCCGGACTCTCGGAAGAGTTGTGGTTTTTAGAAATGTAATACAGCTGCTCCTCTTTTGTTACTAGAATAATGAGGACTGCAAATTATTTAAAAAGTGGTTTGATTGAAACTAATTAATTGTACCGTTTTAACTACTAAGCATCGAATAACTTTTGGAAGTTCTAAAGAAATCGGTTAATTAAATGAAATTGCAAATATATATATATATATTAATCGTGTTTCAAATTTACACATATAAAAAAATTAAACACATAAACCTTTTTCTTAAATTGGATTATCTCACGACTATTAACTGAGCTTTTAGTACTAATGAGAGATAACAGTTTCACCGAGATATATTAATACGCAAAAGAAACATCCTGCTGCTGTTTAATATTAAAAAAAATAAATCAGTTTTTACATAAACAGCTTTTACATCACTAACGGTAACTGTCAGTATGTTTGATGTAAGGATTTGCTTACTTGTTTGTTTAAAAAGTTTGTCCAAAGCTACACAAGAATTATCCACGCATAGCCATCCCTAATTTTAAAATGATAGATCAGAGGGAAGGCAACTAGTCAAAAAACACCCACTGCCAACTCTTGGGCTACTCTGATCGAACTCTTGTAACGTGCCGACGGACCAAAAGTGTAGAACACAGTTTTGCGACAACGGGACACGAACCGTTAATCCTCATTCACAGTCCGGTTTGTTTGTTTTGAATTTCGCGCAAAGCTACACGAGGGCTATCTGCGCTAGCCGTCCCTAATTTAGCAGTGTAAGACTAGAGGGAAGTCATCACCACCCACCGCCAACTCTTGGGCTACTAGTGGGATTGACCGTCACATTATAACGCCCCCACGGCTGAAAGGGCGAGCATGTTTCGAACCCGCGACCCTCAGATTGCGAGTCGAGCGCCCTAACCACCTGGCCATGCTGGGCCGCACAGTCCGGCCTCAGATAAATGTTCTTGCACGCTGCTTCTCCTGTTTTATGTGGTGGTCAGTTTCTATCTAAATTTTCTACACGTTCTATTCAAAGTTCTAGATCGTCCAGACTGCACAAGAGCGCGTACGACACACCGATATTTAAACTTTTCCTCATAATTCTATCTAATTAACATTACTTTAACTAGTGATCTGTTTGAGAGGGTAATACACACACACACACACACACACACATCAGACCACCCCTCTTAGTACAGTATTACTTCAAGCAATGACACTGCAAATTGATAGTAGACAACAAAATATTGCAATTTGATTTATCTAAGCTATTATTTGACAAAAGTTTGTGTGCGTGTCCGTTTATAACTGGCGAACCGCTGGATCGATTGTCACAATCCTGGCATGTACCCTTAGGCCCCACAAGGGAGTGACACAAAAATATCCACGTTTAGATTTAACCCTCTTATGTCATACCTGAGGACCCTATATCTCTATCTAATGCGCTGAATATTTGTTATAACTTATCATTAAATAAATAAATTTATATCATTTAATAGTCCTGACTATTTAGGGTCCTGGGATATCTTTTTTTCTTTTTTAACTTTCACCGACTTTTCGTTCCACTTTTCGGGGTTTTCAAGGTAGTGGATACCCCCGAATTTAAGAACAGCGCTTAATACAACCCGTAAAGCTACATTAACAATAAAAAAAAAATGTGATGCTGCTACTCCGTTTAGCTGGATTATCATACTTACCCTCAACGCAATATTATTACATTACGCGATGTTTTTAAGTAATTAGTATGAACATAGTGTATACATCTTCAATGCTGCGATATGATTTTTCCATATTATAAAATAGTTATCGTACTTAAATATACCATTCACTTACAGCTCTGTTCCATCACACCGAACATGCTCGCCCTTTCAGCCGTGGGGGCGTTATAATGTATAGGTCAATCCCACTATTCGTTGGTAAAAGAGTAGCCCAAGAGTTGGTGGTGGGTGGTGATGGCTAGCTGCCTTCCCTCTAGTCTTACACTGCTAAATTAGGGACGGCTAGCGCAGATAGTCCTCGTGTAGCTTTGCGCGAAATTCAAAAACAAACAAACACTTACAGCTCTGTTCCATCACCAGCTATATGAATGAGCCTTAATTAACTTCTCTCTAATAAATAGATGGATATTTTATAACAGTTAAATCTTATTATTGATGTAAATATGTATTTATAGAGGGCGACCTACGATAAATTAACGTTTCGGCAGCGTTAAAGTTTTTTTTAAAATATTTCAATGTATCTTCAACCCACAAGTTACGGATTTTTATTTATTCGAACTTGAATTTTCACACATAATAAATCTAAGTAACGTTTTGCTCATAAGTCGCACGTGTAGATATACTGATGATATTCTTATGCCTAATTTTTCAGAAACGACTCTTGAAAGAACTCAAAAACGTTCATTACACACTACCCGGTGGTAGATATTAACATCGTTAATTAAATATTCATGTTCAATTATCAATAAAACGGACATTTTAAACTTTGAAGTTATGAACTTTCCTTTTCAAAATACAAATATTTCAAATAAGTTATGTTACAAAGATTAGTAGTCAAGTCACACTTGATTACATAGAGTAGAACATGTTCTACATTACAAGACTTCGCAGACGTAAACTCACTCGCATTCTTCACAAACGAAGTTTACAATGTCGCATTTTGAACATAAACTTCACTCAGTTTTGTGAGAAATTCGGCAATATTCTGGCTATTAATTAAGGATTTAAAAGTTTACAGATTACCACAACCTTCTCCAAATGTTCACGCTTACAAGTATACCTACCATTGTTGTAACGCCATTTTCTGAGTATTATTACAGAAAATTTGACTTAATTTATTACTTCCTGTTCCCTGCTCCGTGTGTTACGTTCATGTAAAAGTGGTTGTGTTAAGACAAATTTCTTAATATGTGTATCATCCTCTTCTCTTTACTTAACATAGCTATATTTCAATTAAAGTACCAATATCCTAGCTATTTATTGTTCGATTCGGATATTAGTTATTTAATTTCTTACTTATTGTTATCTATTATTTTGTACCTTTTACACACTCGAGTTTTTGGCTGTACTACTGGTACTGTACTGCTACTTGCCTAAACCTAAACAGTAAGATTTGTAGTAGCAACTTATCTCAAATGCCACTCCCCTCTAAAGTAAGGTTCACTTGATGATGGGTCAACACGTAATCAGAACCTGCCAACTGTAAATGTTGCTGTTGTTATATTTTTGAATTAAACATCGGACTATTTAACAATCGGCCCGGCATGTCCACGTGGTTTGGGGGCGCTCGACTCGCAATCTGCGGGTCGCGGGTTTGAATCCCCGTCACGCCAAACATACTCGCCCCGTTCAGCCGTGGGGGCGTTATAATGTGACGGTCAATCACACTATTCGTTGTTAAAAGAGTAGCCCAACAGTGAGCTACCTTCCCTCTAGTCTTACACTGCTATATTAGGAACGGCTAGCGAGTGTAGCTTTGCGCGAAATCCATAACAAACAAACCATTTAACAAATGTGAAATCTTTATTGTACTTTTAAAGTGTTTCAGATCTTTTACAGCGTCACCCTGTATGTGAACAAAAAATCAATTTTTTTTTCAATCTACAAATTTGTTAACCCTTCATACGATGGATACAAATAAATTATGGAAAATGAATGCTAATAGGTCACAATCCGTCCGCAGTTAGCGTCATCCCATGCTAACAATGATCCTAATTCAGCAAAATCAAATTAATCTTACCTACCATTAAATTTGACGTTTAGAAGAAGATAACTTGATGTTCTTTAATAGCTTTTATTGAACTACTAATAAATTTGATTATATTTTCTTGTGTGCTTCGGGAATTGTATATCTATTATATATGTGTATATCAAATTTGTAAATAGGTTGTTGTTCTTTAAATAAACAACATATTTCTAGGTTTTAATTTCAGTCTCTTTACGTTTTCATTAGTCCCCCAGTGGGACAGCGGTAAATCTTCAGATTTACAATGCTAAAATCAGGGGTTCGATTCATCTCGATGGACACAGCAAATAGCACGATGTCGCTTTGCTATAACCCCCCCCCCCCACCACACACACACACACACACCGTTTAAATAAATACACTCTTCGAAGCTATTTAAAAGTCAGCAGAAAAAATATCCTATTTTAGAACATTATAAGACGAACAGTAACTGAACAACAGAACTATAAAAATACGTAACACAGAACGAATGATGCCTATTACCATGCTCGGAAAGAAGGTAATAGGAAAACAAGTATATTCAACTACAAGATTGTCAGTGTCGTTAACCAGACAAATTACCGAATTTGTAAGAAAGTTGTACTTACCGTTCGACGGAAACTGGTTTTCTCCGAACATGACGGCTTTAATCTGAGGAATTAAAAGTTAATATATAAATTACTTCATCGCTGAAAACGATTTTGTAAACGTAGTTAATAATTAAAACTGTATTCTTAGTTAAAATTAAGTAAATATTGTATTATTATAGAACAACGTTATTATTAAACATATTGAGCGATTTTTAAGTCAATACTGCCAAGAAGCTCCAATACTCAAAATAATTCTATTGGCCGAAATATTAATGACGTATGCATTTTAATATGAATCACCTTATTTTTCTGACCACTCCTAAGCCAAATATAGATATCTTTCAAAAGCATCCTGGACCGTTGAGTAATTAACATTTGTCGAGTTATTGCAAATGGTTATATAGTACATTTGCAAATATTTTAACCAACTGTGTATGACAATTTTTATGCGGGGGGGGGGGGGGAGATCTTTCTTTGCCCGAAAAAAAATATTCTAAAAGGTGAAGACAAAAGTAATTTAGTCTTTTGTAAAAAGTAATTGGTTAGTAGCTTGATTGTCGACGAACGTTGTCCGAATTTTCATAAAAGGACCAATTTGAGGGGGGCTACACCCATATTTCCCATCCCGTACGCTTATGTGCAGTTTGTTAAATTTGTCATCGATTTTGCTTTTAGCTGTAGTGGTACTGATTTTATTACTTTCAGAAAGATGGCCAAATAAATGATTACAATATTTTAAACCTCAAATCGCATACAAACGCAGTGATATATTTATTACATTGATATACATGTTTTTGTTCTTCCCAAACACAGAAGTTGCAGGCATTGATATTATTGTTCATTTATGACAGATAAAGTAATTACTGACCAATAAACGCTACCTTTTATGAATTGGTAACAGAAAATCGCAACAGGTTGGAAGCAGTAAAAGGAGCAACTTCTCAGGAATGTCAAAAATCGAGTAAAAACTGTCCCACCAAGAAGCAACCGCAATAATTTACAAGTCAAGAAGGGAGGGAGGAAGGTAAGCACCAAGTGGAAACGTGATGGTATTCTCGCCACTAACTATGCACCCACTGCCTACTGGAGCTTTGCCCCCTAGGGCTGACAATTCGGTCAAATTCTCAAGATGTTTGACCTTGACTGACCTCTCGCTTCGGTTGGCACGTCCCGATTCTCAGGCTTTAAGATTCTCCGGTTAACTAACGTCACGTCCCCCCCTAAAATAATACATAACGTAAGTGCGTCGTTAATCTAAAAATCCTATTGTTTAACAAAGTAAAGCTTACGTCTTCATTCTCTTAACCACGTGACACTTTAAAATCTTTGAAATGTTAATAACAGAGAGTCTTCAAAAATTGGTTACATTCTTCGTGCAGAATCACTCGAGTTCTTGCGTGCAATACATCGTTAATTAAACACACACACAAATGTACTGCAATGATTTTCAGACCACTGAAAATTCTGGCAAATTAAATGAAACGAACCAAAAGCTTTCACTAGTAGCATTCTTATAATTTAAACGTTATGGGTTTTATTTTCCGATCTCAATCATTTATCGAACCGGTTAATCGTCGACATTTTGACAGAACACGAAATATTCCCTATATGGTTCATGTTCACTCTGACGATTAGGCTCTCAAACTTACAACACAGAATGCCTTTATTAACACTTAACTCTTATGATAGCATACGCTCAAAAAAGTACATATTTTGGTAAAACAATAAAGCCCCACCAAATAAGACAACTTTACATTAAGTAGAATACAGATATGATTAATTATCTGTAAGAAAACTATTAAAAGAACAAATAGAATATCATATATTGAACTGACGCTCAAAAAAGTAACATATTTTGGTAAAACAATAAAGCCCCACCAAATAAGACAACTTTACATTAAGTAGAATACAGATATGATTAATTATCTGTAAGAAAACTATTAAAAGAACAAATAGAATATCATATATTGAACTGACGCTCAAAAAAAAGTCGATGTTATCATGTTAATATTAGTTTATAATAGTAATATTACACACATACACTTTCAGTTCCGTAAAAAAAACGATTTTACTTTTCCCTTATTTAGAGAATTACGTTTTGTATAAGGCACTTATTATGTGCATTACTGGTTTGTAATTTTCCCTTATTTAGAGAATTACGTTTTGTATAAGGCACTTATTACGTGCATTACTGGTTTGTAATTTTCCCTTATTTAGAGAATTACGTTTTGTATAAGGCACTTATTATGTGCATTACTGGTTTGTAATTTTTGAATGATAACATCAGATGAGATATAAATAGCGGATTCTTGGAGAAAAAAACTTGATTGGAAAATTTGCGAGAAATATGAAATATTCTCTAAACGAGTTCAATTCTTTGAAACCACAACAGAATATACAAGCGTATTAATTTGTAGAAACTTACAAAAAATATCAGTCTTTCTGGCAGAACGTTCAAGAAATTAAACGAAAAAAGGTGAGTTACTGGAACTAGGCCTTTTACTGGAACGATTACAAAATAATGCATTTATTTTACTAAATGTTAATTTAAATTACTGACATAATTGTTGAAAACGTGGCGATTTTTTTTTTTTAACTCTCCGCAAAGGATTTTTTACGTCAAATAGTTCTAAGGTTTGGTTAGAAAACAGCGTTTAATTAGACAACTGATATAACTGGCACACGACTTAAGAAGTTCCGTTCCTGAATGTGTAGTTTTATCAGTCAAACACTAACTAATTTTACGACAACAATGTAACTTAAGACAGAAGTTCCGTTCCTGAATGTGTAGTTTTATCAGTCAAACACTAACTAATTTTACGACAACAATGTAACTTAAGACAGAAGTTCCGTTCCTGAATGTGTAGTTTTATCAGTCAAACACTAACTAACATTACGACAACAATGTAACATAAGACATGGATTTCGTTCCTGAATATGTAGTTTTACCAATCAAACACTAACCTTACGACAACAATGTAACATAAGACAGGGATTTTGTTCCTGAATGTGTAGTTTTACCAATCAAACACTAACCTTACGACAACAATGTAACATAAGACAGGGATTTTGTTCCTGAATATGTAGTTTTACCAATCAAACACTAACATTACGACAACAATGTAACATAAGACATGGATTTCGTTCCTGAATATGTAGTTTTTACCAATCAAACACTAACCTTACGACAACAATGTAACATAAGACAGGGATTTTGTTCCTGAATATGTAGTTTTCCCAATCAAACACTAAGTAACCCTACGAGAATAATGACACACAAAACAGGAATTCTGTTCCAGCAAATATAGTTCAACAATAGAACACTAACTACTCTTAAGACAGCAGTGACACACAGGAGAGGAATTCCGTTCCTAACCGCGTAGTTTTACCAATCAAAGACTAACTAACCTTACGACAACAGTGACACATACGACAGGGATTCCGTTTCCGAATGTGGTTTTTACCAATCAAACATAAACTAAATTTAAGACAATGACGACACACAAGACAGGAATTTCTTTTCTAACAAATGTAGTTCAACAAACAAACACTAAACTATACTTCTGTATTGCTTACATCATGCAATATGGAAAAAACCGTGCACAATATTTCAACTTCATTTCTAGTTCCTTCGTAAATACATTACAGATGTTTGTTTTATTAGTAAAATATTTTCACCACCACAACAAAAAGCTATGATTAATGTCGAATAATATATAAAAAGTAGAGTACGTTATATTAATAAATATATTGAATATGAAAATTCATCAAGTCACATGGCAACCATGACTGATATACAGACACGGTGGAATGCCATGTATCAAAATTACCTTTTGACATTATTTGGTTTTACTTAGGTAGTGACATCACATTACTGATCACTTTGGGAATGGGATATAACAGGCCTTTACGACGCAAAATATCCATACCCTACGATCATATCTGAAATTCGCAGCTTGCAACATGGGGGACATCCTTTGTATGTACTTAATGTCATTGGAAAAACAAATGAATGTGGGTTAACTTGGAGCATCTGGACCATCTAGAAAGATACCTGCAACAAGTCGTACCCTAACTGTGGAAAGCAATATGCGGTGTTTTGTAACAGGTGAGAATCCACGAACACAAAGATCAGTGGCAAAAGCCGCCTGTGTGTCCCAGGCAGCAAGTACACAACATCTATATAAATAAACGTCAATATATGCGTGGATCTGTTCCTTATACATTTCCACATTTCTTGATCAATCAGCAGCAAACTTGACATAGTGATACAGGATGACATAAAGAAGGTCATGGAGAGTTGGACTCCTCTCCATCTAATTTAATATCTAATTTTGCAAAACTACCAATGTTGTATCCCTCAGCATTAGATTGAACTATGTAACCACTATTGTTAGAATTCTTGAAAACAGTTTGTCTTTCTCTTTAGTGTTGGTACCTTTATGTATTTTTTATTGCACCTTTAATGTTTATTATGTTAAGAAAAAAACAGAAGCACAATTTCCTATCCTTTATTACAAACGAGTGTTTATTTCACCCGTCCGTTGGACGGGTACTCCACAGCTAGTAATCAATAAGGACCTCTGTCTGAAAAAGCGATGCAGGTCACTTGTACACAAGTTATTTCCATGACATATCCATGCAACCATTCAACAGCTGTAGAATGAAACCGATATACATGCTATTGCAATTACTCCATATGAAGACATATCAGTCAAGTTGCCAGACTCTGCATATATGGACGTCTGTACGGTCGTACTGTCGAAACGGGCGTTGGGAAACTGTCCCCATATGCTAAGTGGATTGTGAAAAGCATTCAGAGAGAAGTGGTATACTTTGTACATGACAGCCTTACAGCGGGACCTTTTGTAATGAGACTACGTTGCAGGGTTTTTATGAAGATAGAGCACGATCAGAAGTAAGGGCATTGTAACGACGTTATGAGGGTTGTCATTTTCATACAACACATTCAACCTCTAAATAAAATATGAAATAAGTAACACAGGATAAAATTTGCATATCCCGCCCTTTCCATGCGATATAATTTTAGGAACAGAAATGAGCTA